ATTTTGTGTGCAGAGAGGCCTGAGGCACATTTGTTGTGACTTGTTGCTGCAGTATATAAACCAACTGGACTGAGTTTAGCTGATTCTGGTACTGAAATGATAAAAAGCTGAACATGTTGATTCATTTATGTTAAAAACTGACTTCAAACAGGAAGTCTGACTAACTTCTAGTGTAGAATCCTGTTGCTGAAATGTCATGTATGTAAAATAGTTGAACAGGCTGAAAGTGATGTTTATGTCGCATATTTATAAATTAAAATGACCCAGTTTCATGACGTTATCAAAGACGAGCTACAGACAGCAGAGCCCGATTACAGCTGCTGCTTATCAACATCTGGAGTCTGAGGTGAAGGAAGCTCAGAGACAACCTGGAGAGAAAAAACTGTTCAACTATAAAGTTCACAGCTTTCCTGTTTCACATTTTCCTCTTGTTAAAACAAAAACAATGTTGAAAACTTTTGACTGAGTGAAATAAACGGAGTCGCCTAAACGCGTGTTAGCATAAACAACATGATGAGATGAAGCCAACTGTTACAGAGCCCAGACGAACCGAACCTTACTTCATGATGATCCTCCACGACCCAGACCGGCAGCTTCTGGTAGAACCTTTTCCGCGGAGCAGAGCTCATGTTGACCGGTGGTTCCGTCCAGCTACAGAAAACAGAACTGAACGGTTACAGGTTTCCACCGGAACGAAAACATCACCGCACCGGAAATGAATCCGGCACGGTTGTTTAAAGTCTCCTCTTAGAAACAAGGCGAGGAATAAAAGGTTCCTGGTGAAAATAAAATAAAATAAAATAAAATAAAATAACTGGGTAAATTAACACCAAAAATAACAAAAATTTCAACTTTGAATTATCTGAACATAATTTAAACTGCTTTATTTAAGTTCAAGTTCAAGTGTACTTTATTGTCAACATCTATGTAACAGGGTTAGCACAGAATTTGAAATTCACCAGTCTCCAATGTGCAGTTAAACATGTAAACATATCGATAAGACATTGACATTAACCCAAAACCCCATTTACAAAATAATTTAACAAAGATAACATTCTGAAACATGACATAACCTTTTATGTGTTGATTATAACCTTATCTGATGTTTGAAAGTAGGATTTTTGTTTTAGGTTTCACGCACACGTGAATTTGGACAATATATTTACCTATTGAGAAGCTTTTTTATTATTATTTTTGGAATATTATCCTTTTATGAAGACTGTCTGTCTTCACAAACAAATGTTTTTAAGTACTAGCAGATAACTGTTTTCACACAAGCTACTTCGTGTACTTTTATTACAAGACACTTTCTCAGGGACTCTGACACTAATCATTACTATTTAAACTCAAACATATTTCAGATTGTTGGCTATTAGTCTTTTTTTAAGTGAAGAGAAAATAGAGACAGAGAGAAAAACAGAGAGAGAAGTAATTAGAAAGATTGAAATAGCGATTAGAAGTATATTAAATATACACCAACAAAACACAGGACCACACACCCAACATCTGTCCGCTCACCCCTGAAAAATAAATGGATAAATACATGGAAGAAATAAATGAATATATACTCATACCCATACATATATAAAGATATACATACATACATGCCTACATTCATAAATATTAATCAGTCTAAAATTCAACTTTATGATCGCTGAGAACGACACAGTGTCTGTTATCTATCACCTCTCATCACGCTGAGAACAACAGCCCCACAGTAAAGCACGGTGGTGGCAGTATCATGCTACAGAGATGTTTTTCATCAAGGACCAGGAAACAGAATAAAGAAAAAATGTTGAAGCCAGTTGGCTTTATTCCTAATGTTTTGAGAGTCGCTGTTACTGTGATGCAGGTCCACTTTTCAGCAACACAAAGAAGTTGAAAGTACCGGTCACATCAAATTTCTGTAAAAAATATGAAAACATTTTAAAAAAGACAACATTCATAACATATTGGGGGAGGGGGGGTAAAGCTGCTGAGAGGACCATTTGTTGAGATATTTACATGTGAAGTAACAGGAAGTGATGTCAAAAGGGAATGTCTGAATGTTGCTGTGGAGAAGAATCTGTTTCTTTAAAAGATTTTGAGTCTTTATCAGAGAGATGAAGAGGAGTCAGAGTTCAAATGTTTCAAAGACAAAAACAAAGACCGGATTTATTTTTCTTTAAGAGTTCCCCTTTGATGTCAGTTCCTGTTTCACTTTGTTTGAGCCCAGTTAAAAGGAAAAATACCAGTTATGTGACAAAATGTGTAAAATTGTGCATTTAATGCCAAGTTTCTATACTATAGTAACTATAAAAATGTTTCATAGACTTTTTGTGTTTGAAGGTATATTTAAACACAATGAAGCAACTCTCCATGAGGTTATGAAGAAGTCATTAAAAGAATGGTCTACTGCAAAAGACAGAGCTACAACTGGACAAAGTTTTCTTTTAAAAGTTTCTTTTCATAAAATAAACTGATTTGGTTATAGACAAACACAGAGGCTAGATAGTATTTGGGTTTATTTTGATCACAACAATGCTTCCTTTAACAAATTCATACAAATCCAGTGAATATCAATGAAGTCTTAAAAATACAGTATGTGCATAAATATTTTTATTATTTACAAAACAAATGTTAAAAACTGCTTCTTTAAATGTCAAAATCCCCAAATACCAAATCAAAGCATCAAAACAAGAAATCAACAAAGATGACTCAGCACTTTCTTTTGTGAGGTTTCCCTTTTAATAAGACATGTGACCACAAATAAATACACGTTGCAATGTTGAACTAAAAAAAGTCTTTTAAAAGAGGAAATAAGCTCAGATTAACTCAATGAGAAAAAAAATTAAAACCACACAAACATGGAGGTAACAAAAAAAAAAACTATAAAATGTTTCCTGGCAAAATGTCTGTTCCTAAAAACATTTCCATCTAAAATGGTGTCATAATAATCTGATTATTTATCAGTTTATATTTTGCATTTAAACCTCAGACATTAATCTTTACTTTGGAATCTTTGGTTATCATAAAAAACCAACACAGACGAGCTACGTCTAATGGCCAGAACTCTGCAGTTTTCACTCATTTACAGGCCAGCGGTCACTCTTTCAGAGATGAAGATGTTCTCATTCTTGATAGAGAGGAACGATGGTCTGAGAGAGGAGTAAAAGAAGCCATTTTTGTGAAGAAAGACCGTCCATCATTAAACAGAGGTGGAGGCCTCCGTTTTCAGTTGTCCCCCTCCTACAGTGCTGCTATTGCCAGTATCACTCCACCCCCTGTTAACAATAGGTGTTAATTAGGTGTCAACGATAGCCATGTGATGTGAGTATCAGTCACATGGAGGCAGGGCTTAAAAGCCTGAATTTTGCCTGAAACTCTCAGACTGAAGAAGTCTCTTGGAGGAGAGACGAAACGTTTCATTAGAGAAGAACCCGTCCAGAAGACCTATACAATTTTTTTCTTTTTGATTTTTTACCTGGATTACTGAGATGCATCAGGATATTTGGTTATCATAATTTTACTAAAAGTCAAGGAAGTCAAAGCACCAAGTCAGGAAAAAAAGTTTATTTTATAAGAATTAGTTTTAAAGATGCTGTTTGGTTATTTTAGGAGCAGGATTTAGTGACACTGCAAACAGAAACTAAGCCTGTGACGTCAGCAGTTTCAAAGATCGTATGCTTTAAGATCTGAGCACAATGTTTTTGTTTAAAACGTTCAAATAATTGTTGGGCTCAACCTTGTTTTTCTGTTAGCAAAATATTTCATGAAGCACTGAATGGATTTTAAAGAAATGTACAGAAATTGTCTGTATATTTCTAAATGAATCCCCAGATATTTCTCATAAACCAACACAAAACCAGCTGCACCTCAGCTGTGGTTAAAGCTACTGAGCTGAAGTTTGATGTAGCTGAGACTCATTCACTACACATGAGGTTTGTGACAGCTGTACTGCTCGTATCCGTTTTTAGCTTCGTCCAAAATGACCACAGCTGACATTTCTCATGATAAAATGACTTTGGTCTGAAACTCTGCATGAAATATGGCAGAAATATTTTCACTCCTTTAAAGACTGTCTTTTGATGCTCATCCTGTATCCTTCAAGAGACTAAAAAGATGCAGAAACCCAAAAGTAAAACAAGATAAATCAATTTAACTGATAGATTGAACAACTATACATTTTATTGCGTCATTTTAGGTTTTAATTACATAAAATGATCACTTAAAGAAAAGTCCACAAACCTACCTAAACATAAAGAAAATGCTTCCCAGTCATCTGTAAGGAAATTTAAATGGTAATTCCTTTATAAAGTAAAGACTTTTGTTAAATAAATGATTGAAACCATCAACACACATCATATGAAGGCAATAGATAGAATGTGGTGTTGTGCACATATATTAGAGTGCAAGAAGTAAAAAAAAACATCAAACCCCCCAAAATACTTGTACAAAAATGTAAAAATCTATATAAAAACAAGAATTTGGTCGTTTTAGTAAAATAAGGTTTTCTTTTTGTATTTTATTTTCAGGAGAAATCCGTTTTCATGTCAACATGTTTCAGAACAGCTGAAACAAAAGCCTGTGAGCAGCCCACAGGCAGCAGAAGGACACTTTCATTGTTTTTGCTGCAGTCAGTCTGTTAGAAACAAGTCCGCTAAAGATGAATTGTAAAACAAATAACCCTTCAGGAATCTTCAGAAATGTAACTAAAAACTACATTAACTATTTAAACATGGAATTTTTCCTCAATCAATAAAACTGGATGTAATAACTGGTGACACATGTCTGAAGGACTCAAACACCACCATGCAGGTGCAGAAGCAGTTTTTAGGTTTAGGGGACTGTTTCACACAGAGCCACAGGTTGGTTTGAAGAGTTATTCCCCCCCAAATAAATAAAAGAACCATTTAAAGTGGACATATCCTGCTTTTAAATCCTTCTTTTTCACATTTAAATCCAGATGGAGTCAATATAAAGTGGCGCTGCAGAGCTTTGGTCTGAATTCCTCCTTATTGTAACTCCACAAGCCCCACCCACTTTTCTGAGGCGTGTCTCAGATCAACTCATTTTGAGGCTGTCTCTTTAAATCCAAATGAGGTGCTTCACACCCTACACCCCTCCAGCTTCCAGACCGGTTCGTTCTAGTTTAATAGAGGGGTTTAGGACTAAATAACAGAAACATTTAATTTACAAATGAATTAGAAGATCTCAACAAGGGAAGACCTGTCCATCCAGCCTTACATGCTGGAGCCAGAGTCTGACCCAGAACCAGAGTCTGACCCAGAACCAGAGGACAATGAAGACCACTAAATTGTAGTTGGTGAGTCTAGACCTTATTTAGAAGTTGTTATAAATACTTTGACATAATAATACGGAAAATAGAGAAAACTGAACGGGCTGAAAAATGTGACCCAAACAGAACATAAATATATCTCTGCAGCACCAGGAGAGACTAAATTAATTTTATTTGCCTCTTAGAGACACCAACTATACAACAAAATGCATTTAATGGCTAAAAAAGTGGATTTTGCACGATATGTCCCTTTTATAAATGAAATAATCATTTAAAATGCATTTTGTATTTACACAGATTATCTTTGTCTGATGGTCTGACACATGTAAAAGTGATAATAAAGTAAAAACAGTAAAAATACTGTAAGTGAAAACTTTCTCACAGCACTGTGTTGTACTGATTGAC